CTGATTTCATCTGGCCCCGGATTATGGGCCTTTAGGAAAAGGTCATTTACTCTGCTCTTTTTCATGAACCTTCTTTGGCAACAGGAAATCTTGTTCTAACTCTGACAGCCTTGGGGCACAAAGAAGGACTGAAGCATTGTAGTGTCATTGTGTTAGAATACTAGAGGCCTGGTGTGCGAAATCCACGCAAGGGGCTCAGCCCATGCAGCCGCTGCAGCTTGCCTCGGCCCTCATGGCCCTGGCTTTGTCTGGAAGGTCGTCCAGAGAGTCATCCGGCTGTCCAGTCTAATGAGCACATTATGCTTTTATTATTATAGATTATTGATGGTCCTAATATTGGATCTTGTGCCAAGGTGTTTACCAAGCTACCAAATGCTGGCTATCCTTGACCACATGTTTGAGGATTAAGTGGAGGGAGAAAAAACACCTTTCCTCTATCCTCCTAGGTTCTGTGACTGGGCCTGCCCATCAGACTGACCAAGGACAGATCAACAGGAGGAGAGGCATACACATCTCTTCCGCTGCACATGCTTTATTTCTGTGTGCATGGAAATCTTCATGGGCATGAAGACTTAGAGATGCTTGGTCTCAGGAGCTCATACACCATTTGAACAAAGGGCAGTACGTGGTAGAGAAGTACCTAGCGGAAGAGTGGGAGGCTTTGGCTTCAAGGGGGGGGGGTGAATTGTGGCAAGGGTCAACTGTCCCCAAGGCCAGACTTGCAGATCTGTCCTGTAATGGGCTGGTGTCTCTGGCACATTCTAATCATCTAACTCTCCTGGTGTCAATAGGAAACGTACCATGCAGGTGGCTCCAAAGCCATCATCACCCATGGGTGCCTTCTCCGAGGGGGTTGGGGTGAGGGGCCCCTGGTGTCATCGTGGTAACCTGCAAGCATGCCTGTCACGCACACTCTTTCTTTCTTCCATCCAGAGGGGGCTTCAGTGTACGGAATTGTACGTCTAGGGAGGTTGGGTCAAACACGAATGCACGTCTTCCCCTCCATCTGGAAGTTCACTTATAATTCTCATAGCTCGGACTAAGGCTGGTGCTCTGTTTGGTGCCTTCGCTGGTAAAGACTCACCCCTCCTCACAACGTCGTCCGCATCTCAGAGTCATTATCAGGGTTTTCTTCTCACACTGCAGTGGGGTTCCACCACCTGCCTCATACATGCTGGTGCATATGGCAAAGTTTTACCAGTCACGTGGTCTCTGTGAAGGCACGTACTTAGCCCATGTCTGGAGTGATCATTTTGATTCAAATGATTATTGCTCAATATCAGTCTCCCAACCCCACGTCCCAGACAGGGCATCTGATGTCTGCGTGTAGCCGGAATGAAGCCAGGCCCCTTTATGATCCAATCTCAGGACATGGTGATACTCAGCATGTATCCGAAAGGTAATTTAAAATCAATTTAGATATGTATGCTATTTTTTGGAGAAAATGCAACGAGGGATTATTTTAAAGCAAAAGCTGTCAGCATTATTATCATTTTTTAATTCTCTGACACAGTCTCATGGCATCTTTTTCCTAAGAGTCCTCACCTTTTCTCAGCTCCCCTGATAGAGGAGTGAGGGCTTTGAATGCTTTATTTTTGTCCTGTTTTATCTCCAGTGCTGTATGGAGATTTGGGAAATACTAAGAGAGAGACTGAATCATTTCCAAATCCAAATTATGTTTGGATATCTTTGACATGTCTGGTCCTGTCTGCTGTATATTCTTTTATTATCTTTAAAGCCAATTCCTGAACATTTTTTATGAATCGAAAAACCACATACAGGAGAAGGTGACTTTTTTTTTAAAAGAAAAATTTCACACTGATTTTTGTGTATAAAATACCATGGGCATTTGGAAAAAAAAACATAAAAAAACTTTATGCTTACATTATCTTAGATTTTGTGGCATTTAAAAAAAAAAAAAGAATTTGCCGAAACCGGTTTGGCTCAGTGGTAGAGCGTCGGTCTGCGGACTGAAAGGTACCAGGTTCGATTCCAGTCAAGGGCATGTACGTTGATTGTGAGCACATCCCTGGTAGGGGGTGTGCAAGAGGCAGCTGGTCGATGTTTCTCTCTCATCGATGTTTCTAGCTCTCTATCTATCTCTCTCCCTTCCTCTCTGTAAAAAATCAATAAAATATATTTTTTTAAAAATTAAAAAAAAAAAAAAAGAATTCACTGAGCTTCTTAAACAGTCACTGATGATAGGATAATTGAATGAATCCTACTTCTCCAGGGCTGCAGGGCGTTCTGTCCCGGAGCCCAGGCAATGGTAGACGCTTCCGCTGCCGAATTCAGCTCTCAGCATGGCCACGTGCGTGCTGCTTCCGATGACCGCCCACGAGCCCCATCTTCCTCCCCAGAAAAGAACCCTATGGGGTAAAGCAACTCATCTTCAGGAACAGTGAAGCAAAGGAACAGAGGGGACACCTTAATGACCGTCTTAAACGTGTACTCCCCCAAAGGATACCTCCGTCTGCATCTCCCACAGACACTTCCCTCGCATGGACCCAGAGCCGTGGGGACTGTGCACTGGCCACCCCCCTCTGTCCCCTTCCCCGAGTCCTGAAGTCGGTGCACCCCTATCCTGCTGCTCTCCACATGGCCTCGCACTCCTGTGCCCGTCTCCTGCACTGTCCGCTCTTCATGGCAGAAAATGGGCGTCGGTGGCCTCCATCTGCCCACTCCGCAGATGCCTTTGGACTGAGGGAAAGAAGGAAGGAAAAGGACAAGGGAGGTCCACAGTCCGGGGCTTTGCCGTAATCGCTCCGTTCCCCTGGAAAGCGCCCACCACGGATGCAGCCGCAGCCCTGACCCTCCCAGGCGCCCAGGCCATGGCCTAACGCTGGCCAGGAGAGAGTTTCCCACGGGCGGTGTGCGTGGCACCTGAGGCACACCGCCTGGTTGGGGTGCGTGCCGAGATTCAGGTTCCTGTCCTTTAATGCATGAGAACAATGATAGCTTTTCCAGGAGTCCGCCCGGGGCTCCGTGGGCAGAGGGGGGGCTCCGTGGGCAGAGGGGGGCCCCCGTGGGTGAAGGTGTGGCTTCGTGGGCATGGAAGCCGCTCAGCGGATGGCAGGGGCGGCGTCTGCTCCGAGGAGGCCAGGCCCTCTCTCCTGGCCAGCGTTAGGCCATGGTCTGGGCGCCTGGGAGGGTCAGGGCTGCGGCTGCATCAGTGGTGGGTGGTCAGGTTCTTGTGTGTGTTCAGGTGTGGAGGGGAGGCCCTGAGCGGGTTATGTCTCTCTGATGCTGGAACAGACAGTGGCTGCTTCTTGGACTTCCACAGACAGCATCTTTGACTTCTAGTGTGCTGAATGCCACTCCCACGAAAGGACCCCCCCCACCCCGACCCTCCATGCTCCTCTTCACCCCCCCACCCCCCCGAGTTCTCTGGGTTGTCAGTGTGATGGAGCGCATGGGCTCTGAGGACAGCGGCAGGCGGAAGTCGATCAAAGCTGGGTGTTCTGAGCCTCACTTTTCATTTCTTTTACGCTCAGAAGAAGAGAGGCTTTGCCCTGGCCGGGTGGGACACCTTAATGACCGTCTTGTGCACCAAAAGGTTGTGTGTTTGATCCCCAGGTGGAGCATGTACGAGAGACAACCAGTCGATGCTTCTCTCTCACATCTACCCTGTTTCCCCAAACATAAGACAGTGTCTTATATTAATTTTTTCTCCCAAAGTTGCGCTAGGTCTTATTTTTGGAGGATGTCTTATTTTTGTGGAAACACGGTATCTATGTCGGTGTGTGTCTCTCTCCCTAAAAATTAATAAAAACATATCCTCAGGTGATGGTTGAAAAAGGAAGGGAGGTTTCTCCTCTGGGATACTCCCGTGAGCTTGGGCCCTTTCCTCTCTCTTTCCATTGCTTAGTGTAGCTCTTGCTTCACCCTGTCTGGCTGATCTCCACCCTCAGTTAAGGTGCATCCCTAATCTCTCCTCCTGGGAAAGGGATTTGGGGAAACAAAAGAGGTGCATTTGGCCTCGGCGGTGTGGCTCAGTGGTTGAGCATTGAACCAGGAGGTCATGGTTCGATTCCTGGCCCGGGCACATGCCCTGGTTGCAGGCTCGATCCCCAGTAGTGGCGTGCAGGAGGCAACTGATCAATGATTGTCTCTCATCGTTGATGTTTCTATCTCTCTTCCCCTTTCTGCTTCTCTGAAAAAAATAAAAATATATTAAAAACAAACGAAACCAAAACCAAATGAGGTACATGGGACTGTGAGAGCCAGCATTACTGTACACATTTTTGTAAAACTCTGAAGGGGCTCTTTTTTACGTTTAGTTGATCTCCTCTTCTAGGCTCTGGAACAGAACTTCAGACTAGTGGCATGTGAGCAAGTTGTGTAGACCATGCCTCCCACAGCACTCAGGGTGGGGGAGGAGCCTGGGCCACCAGAGTGTCCCCGCCCCTCGTCTGGAGTGGTGAGAGCCTCTTCCACTGACCCCAGTGTGCCTACAAATAGGACTGTTTTCTGTGTCACGAGGTCAGACAGTGTGGAGAGTGCCACGTTCAGGCCGGTTCCTGGATCTGTTCTTTCTAGCCTCTTCCCTTCAGAGGTGCGAATGCTGCCTCCCCTTTCCTCCTGCCTTTGGCGGTTTGTGGAAGGTGTTCTAGGCAAACTCCTTTGTGAAAGGGGCCGGGACGCTGTCTCCCCGCTCTGCTCCTTCCTCCTTCCACAAAGGATCTGTTGGTAGGCTCAGCCCCTTTCCCACACATCAGCTCGGCCCCTGGCTCTGCTGTGCCCTTTGCTCTCTGCAGTCTTGTTGTTGGCCAAGCCCAGCGATGCCAGCCTCTTTGCACTCACTCCCTCCCTACATCCCCCGTAAAATGCAAGCGTAGACATTTAGCACAGTAACCTCTGGGAGTTGTCACTCGTGCTGATGCTAGTGTTATTTCCCATGCATCTTCTCTCTGAGGACTTGTATTGGTCTTGGAGCTGAGGAAGGACAGAGAGGCAGTCATGAAGCTGAACGGTGTTTCTCTGTTTTTTTTTTTTTCCAGATGAGAATTCTCCAGCCAACTTCTGGGATTCTAAAAACAGGGGCGTGACTGGCACCCAGAAAGGCCAGCTTGTTTGGAGGATTGAGCCGGGGCCCTACTTCATGGAACGTAAGTAGCCACGTGCGAAATGGATGTTTGTGATGCGATGCTGCCTGCATGTGCAGGGATCTAGGGGTCTTTTCTGAGTGCTGTTTAAAATGCTTTTGGCTCTGATTTACATACACTTGTACCATATAACTCCAAATTGGAAAATGTGTTATTTTAGAAAATACTCATTAGAGAACATTCACATATTTTGAAGAGTGTGTGTGTATTGTATGAACATATGATATCCTATCTAATAAAGATGGGATATGCAAATTGACGGTAACTCTGCGACAAAAGATGGCGGTAACCACAGACCGCCATAAGGAGGGAATATGCAAATTGATGCGACAAGGCGAGAGGCGGAAGGCGACTCCGGGCCAGACCGAAAGTGGTGCTGGAAGCTAGGGGAAGGAAGGCCTATTCTTACACAGATCTTTGTGCATCAGGCCTCTGGTATAAATTATGTGTGGCTATTTTAATATTTCACACATTTTTGTATACCTTTGCATCTACATTTGTAATTCATATTTAATGATTAATACTAATTTTAGAGAGCAGGAAAAACACTTCAAGGTTTAAATTTAAGAATTTAGCTTAATTAAAAATTTTTATTTGCTAACTCTGCTATTATTTTTCCAGCGGCAGAATATAACTTTTGCCTTTGGGTCCTGGTTTTTACAAATGTGGGTCAGATAGTCAGACTGCTATAGACGTCTGTTTACTAGGAATCCTGCAGGTAATTCAACCATGCCCCAGTTATCTGATGTTATATTCATTTCTATGTGCAAATGCACATGTGATTACATAGCACACGTGATTCACAGACATATGTCATTCCTTCTTATTTTGGATGAGGGAGAATATCTATACTTTCCACTAATATTATTGCAAACATAGTAAGTATGATTTTGTGGAGTAGCTGGATACTCCTGTAAGCAAATGATTTACTGGTTGCTCCAAGTTAATGCCTACACTTAACAGAATTTTTCCTTACTGCAGACAAAATGGTTCTAAACATTTTCCAAGTTATTTATCTCTGTGTAACATTTAAATCTTCCATATGCAGGGTGTTTAATCCAAGAGAGTGGGGGGATGCTATACAAAGGAGGGTACTTACTACACCTTAAAATATAAAGTAAGGTTTGATCGAGAAGCAGCTTGATGTAGGCACATTATCTACACTAATAAAAGAAAAATATGCAAATTGACCATACCTTTGCGATGCCCACCAGGCAATCAGGAGTGAGTATACAAATTAACCCAACAAAGATAGCATGTTAATTTTCATATGCAGGCGCCTAGTGGCTGGGCGCAGGGCGGGACACCTGTGTCATCGCCATGGCATTCGTCACTGTCCCAGTCACTCAGGGCCTCTGGGCAGCGTGGGGAGGCGGAAAGGAGGCTCTGGTCCGAAGCGAAGGCATTGCCGGCAGCCAGGGGAAAGAAGGCCCAATCTTGCAAGAATCTTCTTGCATCGGGCCTCTAGTTAAAGCATATAAAACTACTGCACTATAACAAGTTGTTTTAAAAGACTAGCAGCTATTACTTTGAATTGCCATCAGATTATTTCTTCCACATTTTCACCTGGAGGTCAGCATTCTAGAGCTTTCTCTAACCCCATTTCTGAACCCTAAGCAATGCCTTCTTTTCAGTTTAATTTCTGGCTAGATTCTCTCCTTAAATCTTGAGCAGAATGTAATTTTAAGGGGAAATGCTCATGATATACCCAGTGAGAGGATAAGGCAGATACACACAGCACAGCCCCCCGCTGAAATCATGCCAGATGGGGAAGCCCGAAGGGTATGTTTGCCAGACGTGGATGAGAGGTTGTTCCTGGGGGGGTGATGTCATGGGTGCTTTTTCTTGCCTCTTTCTACTTTACTTCCCAACCTTGGCCCAGCTGGCATTACTACCTAAGTGGTCGGAAAAGTAAGTGATAAAAGGATATGGGGAAACATGGAACGAGAACTAGTCAAGCTTCCTCTCAACGTGATTCTTCCTTTGGGAGGATCCCAGGGTTTGAGAGGCTGAGCTGGCTGAGAAATAGCACCAACTGAACTTCAGGGGAAATGGTGAAACAACCTTCGTGTTGGCTCCCAAGTGGGGAAGGCTGCCGGGGGTGATGGCCCTTGGTGGCACCTGCCGATTCACACTGAGGGTTGAGATAAATACCTTGGGGCATTGGGAAGAAGTCAGCATCACATGCTGCTGTCATGTGGAACAGTGTGTGTGAAACACGACAGCCTGTGGACAAGACTGTCTCAGTTCGTGTGGTTGATTTTCTTTATCCCTTCCAAAGTGGTAGAGGTTCGGGACGTCCTGGCTGATTAGGCGGTAGTAAATCTCTCTTTCTCAGGGAAGGTTTTTCTTTACCCCTCCTGCTAGTACTTAATAGATCTCTCTCTCTCTCTCTCTCTCTCTCTCTCTCTCTCTCTCTCTCTTTTTCTCTCTCTCTCTCTCTCTTGCTTTCTCCTCCCCTACCCCTTTTCTCTCTCTAAAAATCAAGAAACACATACCCTATGGTGAGATTATAAAACATTTCTTTTTCAATCAGGAGGTGGCCGAGTATGTTCGACAGTTTTTATATTTTCAACCTTTGAGCTTGAAAACTTCATGACACAGAAAAAAACATTTGTTTTCATCTTCAGACAGAACATTTTTATCTTTAGCTATTCAGAAGTCCAGGCAAAGTAAAAATCTACCTAAATTCATGGCAAAGCCTAGATTTTCCCACTGAGCTATTTCTGAATGTAAAGACGGCTTCGGTTTGTCAGGGTAAACCTCTCCAGGAGGCAGGAGGCCGGGCATATTGTTTCGGGACCTGCCTGGGTGAGTTTGGAGGACACAGACTGGTTGAATTTGGGGTAGACGATCTTGCTAAACATTGGAGAAGAGGAGCTTCCCTCTGCACGTGTTGTCAGACTGTCAAACATTCCTCAAATGAGCCGATGCTTGCAGAAACGGGATTGCTCACCTGGACCATGTGCATTCTTGAGTTTTGAAATGTTAAGAGGTTTCAAAAGTTGTCTTGGGTCAGACATGCCAGAATGTCTGTTTCTATAGTCTTTTATAGCTACTAGAGGCGTGGTGCATGAATTCGTGCACAGGTCGGGTTCTGTTGGCCCAATCCAATTGGGATGATCAGGCTGGGCTGACTGGAGGGAGGGGCTGTGGATGGTTGGTGGGCTGGCCTCTCCCCATTGACTTGGTCATGGAGGTCTGGCTGCGGGCGGATTTAGAGTCTGCTCTCCATCATAAGAGCTGAGCTGAGAGCTCCTGCCCTCAGAACCCAGTGCCCACCACCAAGCTTGCCTGGCTTGGATGGGCCTGTGCACTGTGCTTAGCCCTGCTCTTGCCAAAGACGTGCTGTTGGTCTCAGGAGACAGCGGGTGGGAGAGGAGCGCAGCTGTTACAGTTTGGGGAACAATCAGAGCCCGTGTCGGTGCTCGGGACAGTCACCCCGGCGTGTTCCAAGGAGGGCAGTGAGAATGAGGCTGGGATTCCCATGCAGGTCAGTCCTCAAAGCCAGCAGCTTAACGTTCCTGCCTAGGCCACTCCTCGCTCCCTGCCTTCTCATCGCTTAGGTTTTCTCACCCAGGTTTCAGTCCCCACAGTGTGTCTGTGAGCCTTTCTGATCCTGGTGTCCTCACTGGTCTCTGGGGCCTCCAGCCTTCCCCCCGCCATCCTCCCTTTTAGCATCTGTCTCCTGTGCTCTGTCAGGTCTTTGACTGTCACCTCCACACTCCATCCCCTGCTAGACCAGACGCCTTCCTTGGATTCTCTGCCCTGCCAGGTGGGGCGGGGCCTGTCTGTGATGGGAACGCGGTAACCGTCTTCTGCTTGGCAGTGCTCGCTACATTTTGAATCATCACAGGGATTAACGTTCGTGATGGAAAGACTCAGTATTGTACCTCATGGCAAGACTGCTTTTTTTTTTTTTTTTTTGTATTTCATCGTGGATAGGAAACGTGCAATAATATAAATTCCTAAAAGAGGGTTTTGCTTTAGTTGTGTGTTTTTTTTTTTCCTCTTAAAACAAGTGAGCCACCGAGACTGGTTTGGCTCAATGGATAGAGCATCGGCTTGGGGACCGAAGGGATCCGGGTTCGATTCCCATCAAGGGCATGTACCTTGGTTGCGGGCATATCCCCAGTAGGGGGTGTGCAAGAGGCAGCTGATCGATGACTCTCATCGATGTTTCTAGCTTTCTATCATTCTCCCTTCCTCTCTGTACAAAATCAATAAAATTTATTTAAAAAAAAAATAAGTGAGCCACATCCTCTGTGGAGGTCATCGGGTGCAGCCGGGAGGGTCCATGGGAGGTGAGCTTCCTTGGGAAAATCCGTCTAGTGGCCCCCCCTCAGTGATCCAGGGGGTTCAGGGGAGGAAGCCACTCCTGTAGGCAACCTGGTCGAAGGGCTGCCCGTCAGCATCCCTGCCTGTATCGGAGGACACCCAGGGAACCAGGCATCTTGTAGTGGCTCAGGCACGCTGCACATGGGAACAGCCCGGTGTCTGTGCCAGCTATACCTGTGATGCATTCTGACTGCACGAGCTTTGAAACTGTTCCTTTCCAAAATCAGTAAGTGACATTGGTATTGCTCTTTATCAAGTTTCAAATTTCACACATATGAAATACATACATGCTGCATACGTGTGTCATATATATAAACACATAACCTGTGGACAGAGAACTCCACATACATCTGCTTCTGCATTATCTGTCCACATGCCAGGAGTGTCTGTACCGGGGGTTACTAAATTTGATCCCTGTTTCGTAGCTGTATTTAGGTCACTTGGAATTTTAAAACAATCAGGTTCCCAGGCCCGAACACTGCGTAGTCTAAGACAGTATTTTTTCATATGTGTTAACCTGCTTTCTGTGTCCATGGGCAGCTGCAGTCTGTCTGTATTGTAGGGGGTTCAGAATGAAGGCTTTGATACCTAAGGGTGGCTTGCGTCCTGACTCTGTCATTTCCTGTTTGACCGTCAGCACACCCCCACACTCCATCTGCGGCCCGGGGACAGGCCTTCTGCCCCCCAGAGTGGGTGTGAGGCTAAGGAGGCCCGAGATCAGAAGAGACACCTCCACGCAGGGCAGCCAGTCTTAGCCTGGTCTCCACACGGTGGCCCATTATCTTCGAATACGTTTGAGGGTGTTCGTATAACGGTCCAGAGAAACGTCTGAGACCAGTAGGAAGTGGTACAGCCAGTCCCTTGCCTCTGCTTGGGAAAGGAAGGTCAATCAGAGACAGGGGCGGGGTGGCAGTGGCCTTGGTGGGCTCCCAGCGCAGGTACTTCCTGTTTGAATGGTTGTTTTCTCCCATCCCTCTGCAGCGGAGATAAAAATCTGCTTCAAGTACTACCACGGCATCAGCGGGGCCCTGCGAGCCACCACGCCCTGCATCACTGTCAGGAACCCCGCTGTGATGGTGAGTTTTACGCGCTGTGTCTCCGGGGGTGGGCGGTCCCCAGGTGGGCGGTCCCCGGGGGTGGGCGGTCCCCGGCGTGGGCGGTCCCCAGGTGGGCGGTCCCCGGGGTGGGCGGGGGTACCGGGGCCTCACCTTCTATTTCTGGCTGCTTATGGAGCACTATGAGAAGGAAACACAGGGCCCTGGGGGCTCCACTTTAGGGAAGGAGATCAGGCGCAGGCTGGCTGGGCTGCCTCCACAATTCTAACCTGCCGGGAATTCGGTTTGATGGAGAGCAGGTCTGTGTAGACAGCTCCCCAGGAAGCAGGTTATGAGTGCTCCCCCGTGGAAGGGGTTCCAGACTTCACTGTGTCGGTGGGAAATGGTAAGGTCGCATCTGCAGGTGAATTTAATTTGCAGGAGCTCAGTGATCAAAGGGAGAACAGTCATGGTGGAGAGGGTGTGATTCTGCCTGCGGACCAGTGAGCTTTCCCCCAAAAGGAGTGGAGGAGAGGGAATGGGAAAGCATCTCAGTGCTGGGTCCCTCTCTAAAGCGTCTCAGTGTTGGGTCCCTCTCTAGTGCCTCCAGAGACCACACAGAGTCTTGTGCGACATGGCCAGTCCGTGGCGGCCAGCCACGTCCCTGGGCCCTCGGAGGAAGAAAGAGGTGTTAATTTAGTTTGGGAGGGCACCATGGGTTTTGTTGGACCTTGAAGGGAAAGTCTGTCCATTTCCAACCTGGTACTTCACAGGGGACTCCTTTTCTCAGGGTCCTGATTTTTCACTCCATCCACCAACCTTCGAATCTCACAGCCTCATATTGCACACGGGTGATTGGACTTAGAGAGTTTAGGGCAGTGCTTCTCAACCATCCTAAACCTGCGGCCCTTTAAGAGAGAGTTCCTCATGGTGTGGTGACCCCCCCAACCATAAGATTATTGTCCTTGCTTCATACTTCATCCCCGTCATGTTGCTGCTGTTAATGAATCGTAATGTAAATATCTGTGTTTTCCGATGGTCTTAGGCTCTACAGGTCGTGACCCACAGATTGAGAACCGCTGCCATAGAGCTAAGACCACCGTTAAAAAGGATCCCCCACATTTCCTAGATAAGCCTTGGAAGTCCACAGGAGAGTACCAGTGGTTGCCTACAACCTCTGCCGTGTCACACAGCGGGCACTGCCCGTGCTTTAATGAATATTCCAAAGAGAAACACTGCCAAGCCAGACGCGTGGCCCCGTTTGCCATAAAACCCTTTGAAAAAAAAAATCAACTGCGTGTGAAATTAGACAATAGCTTCCCAACACGGTTTTTCTGAACTCAGAATTTTCATTTATCTCGTTTAGACTTGAGCCGTTTCAACGATCCACTATCCCTGAAGGCAGCGGGAGTTCACCCCGGGGGGAACATTGATCTCATCCCATTGATCTCTGCGTTGAGATTACTCTGTCTTGTCCCGGGCCTCGTTTGGAGATAATTAATTTGCCGATACAGTGCTTGCGGTCAGAATAGAACGCTGTGGTTTCCAGGCTGACTCCTAGGACGGGTGGCCAGGAGTTCCCTGACCCAGCGTGGGGCGGCTGGGTCTGTGCCACGTGTCTGTGCTGCCCGCGTGGGGAGGGTGAGCGCCGTGTTTGTACCCAGTGAGGTAGCCGTCCGGGGACCCGGCCTGTGGCCTGTGTGAGTGATTGAGACGGATAAACGGCCCTGAGAGTCACAAAGCCCCCTTGGAATAGTCCCGGGAGACGTCCCTGGGTGCCTTCCTCGGGAAGGACGCGAGCTGCCACCCTCCTCTGCTCCTCGCTCACACATCCTTCTGCAGGGAGTCCAGGGCACACACCGCGGTGCCCGCGCTGTCGCTGGGACTTGGATGTCCCTGTGGTTCCTCTGAGCACACGGTGGCGTGTGTCTCAGATGGCCGGCACAGGAAATCCTTTGGCCTCAGGGACAGGCCAGGGCTGCCCCCGCTCACTGCCATGTATTGTTTCTGCCCAGGGTTGACAGTGTCGCTTCTGGCTTCTCCTGGAACGAATCTAGGGAGTGAGCTTATTTAAAAACAGGCGTGTTTGTCATCGCTCATGCCCCACAGCTCGAGGGCCTGCATGTTGCTCCCGGCTTTATGGTCTCGGGCGATCACAGGGAACGCTCCGGGCATGCTTTCAGATGGTCCTTTTGCCACCGTGGCGGGAAAGGACAGGGTAGATCCGTGAATTCTGTGAACATTGTTTCACATTAACCTTTTGACGGGCAGTGAATTACATCTTTAAAATGAGACTCCAAGGGCCAATTTTTTGTTTTGTTTTGTTTGTTTCTGTAATATCGTGTAGTATTTTAAATAAGTTTTCGGGAAACCTATTTGAAGTTTGTTTTTAAAAGACTTATGAGTCTTTCCAGTCTCCTTTAACTCACGTGGGGTGAGTGTCTCTTTGCAGGAAGGGTCATCGTGTCTTGGGGGCGGTACAGCGCCCAGGGCCGTGGGGTCCATTTGAGGGGTCTGGCTGTCTCAGCTGCAGACCACGCTCCCTTGCTGCTCGCCGCTTTGCAGTGCGGGGCTGTGCGTGATGAAAGCAGGAGGAGATAATGACCAGCCATCGGGAGCCTGGCTGGTTTGCTGTTGTCCCGCCAGTCAACCTGGGGGTGGGGGTCAGGGGATGAGTCAGAGAAGGTGGCACTCGGTGTGATGAGGCATACATGCTCACTGAGAGCCAGCCCGGTGTCCTCAGGACTTGGTTTGATGGATGGAATGTAAAAGAATACCTGGATGGGACCCGAGGAACCTGCAAATGACATGACCAGGAAGCCGTTAAGTGCCACCCAAAATGGTTTGGACCAGATTACAGGAAGTAGAGGAGGAAGTAGACGTGGATATTTCAGCATTTGCATGGAACTCATTTAGGAGTTTTCCAGCTTTTCTTGGGTTAGTGAACGTTTTATTTGTTGGTGGCATAAGATTTTTAAAGGAGTATGGGGAGTGTCCCAAAGATAAAAGATGGATGGGTGTGATATAAACGACCATGGTTTCTCTTTTCCAACTATTTAACATATATTCTGCCTCCTGTCTGTTTCTTACAGCATTGCAGATGGTTGGGTTTTTTTGTTTGTTTTTGTTTGTTTGTTTTTTAGAAAACTATGAAATTTTGTTTCCTAGTATGCCATAATTGAGCACTCATTGTACATACGTTGAAGGAAAGGCTGAATCTGCCAAGTGGTCTATAAATGATGGGTTTCATGAGATAATTTACTTGAAAGCTTTTAGGAAAAGCTCCATATACAATGATTAGTACAGTAGTGTTGAGAATGCCTATTACAACTAATTTTAACAGCAGGTGCCATGTACCTGTAATTTAGTCATGTAGGCACCCCTGAAGGGCAATGGAACATCCATGTGGCCACTCAAAAATGTTTGGCGAGAGAGGATCATTCTATTATACATACATATGGATGAGTCTGGTGTAAATCGCGTGTTTGGTTTATTCTAGGGTTTTCTAAAAGGTCTGAAGGAATTTGATGTTTGATTTTTTTTTTTTAACTGAAGGAATGTTTCCATATAATAATAGCAACTTAAGTCCATTTATAACCTATCAACTATCTTCTTATCAAAGAACCAAAAGGACATAAAGTCAGCTGATTCGTATCCCAGCGAATCTAGAAGCTCCTATCGATGATCTCATTTTGGATAAAGATGAAGTTAGGTCTGCTCTTTCTCTCATCTCTGAGAATCTGCATTTGTGTCTCAATTCCAAACTCTGCAGCGTAGGAAAAGGCATATAGTACATCCATGCTTGGTACAAACATCATCACATTGGCAAACATACGCGATTCCCCAGGAAGGCTGAGAGCCTCCGACCCCGTGAAGCTTCAGACGCGTGTTTTTTGTCTGCAGATGGGGGCAGAAGGCGCAGAAGGAGGTGCGTCCGGAAGCCCGCATTCCCGGAAGCTTGTCAGCTTCACACTGTTCGGTAAGGCCGCCTTTCCTTGGCATGATGTCTAGCTTGAAAGTATGCGATTTTAAGGGCCTCAGTAGTCCCTTCTTCTACAGATTCTCATGTTCTAGGTGGACTAGTTAGTCATTGATTGGGCGGGGGGGGGGAGGTGTGAGGTCATACTTCCGAAATTCAAGTATATCTTTTACCAGGATAAAAAATAGATCATTGATACAAACTTAGAAGTTACTTCTTCTAATGTGTTTTCTGGTGGGGAAAAAGACTCTAACTGTGCATAATTACTTTTTTAAAAATCTGCAATTTGAACCCCACATGAGGGCGTTGGTTATTGAACATGATTTGTGCTTACCTTATCTAGAAAAAGGGAAATGTGGAAAATAGGGGGGGAAAGCCAAGGGAAATGCCCATTTCTGTGGAGGAATACACATAAATATAGAAAGAGGGTGAAATAATTTTTTGCTGTTGTTTTCTGGTTGCTGCAATATTCTAATTGCTTGCATGTGTATCAAAAACGAACGCATTGGCGGTGAGCGGGAACTCATTGGTGGTTTACAAGGCTTATTTCATCGAAACTAGCAATTGAGGAAAGAACAGAAAAAGATCAGTTGACCACCAAAGGGAAATAGTTTTTCACAGAACATCAGTTTATACAAACGGGGGGAAAATTCATGCAAGAAAATAAAAACACCTCTGTATGTGTGCCTGTGGGTTTCCGTGTCAAATGTTACTTCGTATGTAGAAAACTCAAAAAAGTATGAAGGCTCTGATTTTAAAAAAATGAACGAGCAGTCGCAGCGCCAAGAATTCACTAAGAAAGTCAGGTTTGACTTGGGCTTTTAAAGCCGACGACTCTGCTGCAGTACATCCAAAATCAAGTCTACCCGATGCCTGCCACTGTCAGATGCTTTGCTTTTGTTTTCCCATCTGTGTTGTGCTTCTGAAACTTAAGTTCAGTTCACTTGCTGGGCTGCAAAACATGTGCATGACAATGCATGTTCTCAGGCGTGAGGGGGAGCAGGCTGATCTCGGAAACAGACGTGGCGACAGTGCGCCCTCCTCGCATCCGACCACAGGGCACACAGGGCGGCGCTCACTTCTGCCAGGGCCTTCAGGTACCGTGTCTTCCCAGCAGACGAGGCACTTCCTGGGAAAGCTTCCTGGGCTGTGTTTCTTGGCAGGTCTCCGCGGTGGTAAATGGGTGACTTATGGTTCAAATCTGGCCAGTACGTATGTTTTGGCTGGAACCCTCAGGGTTTACCAATGTCAAGGTTTTCAGCAGGGCACTTAGCCGTACCATTGCCTGTGACTTCATCTGTCCGTCTCGTGAGAACATGGCAGGTCCTGTACTTTAGACCTCATGGCCCTTGACACTTAGCCAAGAGCAGGTAAGCCCTGTGGAGCGGCTGCCTGCAAACGCTGTACTCGTGCAGGGGCAGAAGTCCGTTCTTTATCGGCGGGGCGCACGAACCAGCCTGTGTGGCTCAGGAAATTTAGTTTGGCCACACCATGGTTTTCCCAGTGATCAGTATCATTCTGAATAGGATACACACAGCTCGGGTGGTGGGGCTCAGTGGCATTCGTTCAATATCTAAGTGACCGAGGCTGTTGGAAACGTAACCTCACAGTGGGTAGCGTTCGGATTTCAGAAACAGTTCTGCTCTCCCAGTTTCCCCATCGCCCATGGCAGCTGTGGGGTACACGTGACACTGTAAACCCGTGTCACTGAATGGGTGCTCAGCAGCGTTGCCCCCATTAAATGTAGGCCAGTGCATTTCATGTATGTATGTCCTTCATTTTTTCTCTCACGAAGGGACCTATTGTGTGTGTGTGTGTGTGTGTTTTAAATAAACAGTCGACTAAGGATTTCTCTTAAGACATGGCAATGCTGGCTGCCAACCCACATTCACATTAGAATCCAAACGACGCCAGGAGGGGGTGCAGGCGTGTGAGATGGGGGAAAGTTTGGTCTCCTGCTTGCAGCCTCTTAGGAGCCCTCTCCGCTGGGATGAGTTAGCCACGACCGGCTTGTCCTCGCCTACCTACTTGATCGCAGCATGAATAATGGTGTTATTGTCTCACCGGTCGCTTCTGTTCAGCGCTTCCTGTCTGATCATTTAAGAACAACTTGTCATTGAGCTATTTGTCCTTTGGTCTCTTGTCCCCTGCCCTCCTCTTCCCTTCCCCCCCTCCCCTTCTCTCTCTTTCTTTGAAGATCTCAGAGCTGTTGGGCTAAAGAAAGGGATGTTCTTCAACCCGGACCCTTACCTGAAGATGTCCATCCAGCCGGGGAAGAAGAGCAGCTTCCCCACCTGCGCCCACCACGGCCAGGAGAGGCGGTCCACCATCATCAGCAACACCACCAACCCCATCTGGCACCGAGAGGTAAGGTGGTCCTCGGGGTCTGAGACGTGACAGACGAGGAGCTGGCCAACTCCACCCCTTCCCTCCGGACTCTGTGCATCATTGAACTGTGTACAGGTGTGAGCAAGAGGGGTCTGCAGGGTGTTAGAGAGAGGGCACGGTGAGCATGAGATACCCCTCTAGCCAGGGCTGGTCTAGGGTAAGGCAAGGGAAGCATCCCTGGTGCACAATTTAAAGGATGCCAAAAGACTCAAAAATAGAAAAAAAATACTTTCCTCCCCCCTCTTTATTGATTAAGGTATTACCTATGGGTCCTTATCCCCGCATTGTTTTCCCCCCCATGCCCTCACCCCCCATGGTGTTTGTGTCCATTGGTTGGGCTCTCATGCATGCATACAGGTCCTTTGGTTGATCTCTCCCCCTTACCCCCACCCTCCCCCGCATTCCCTCTGAGGTTTGACAGTCTGATCGATGCTTCTGTCTCTGGATCTGTTTCTGTTCATCAGTTTATGTTCATTATGTCCCACAAATGAGTGAGATCATGTGGTGTTTATTTTTCTCTGACTGGCTTATTTCATTTAGCATAATGCTCTCCATGTCCATCTATACTGTTGCAAATGGTAGGCGTTCCTTCCTTTTTTTTTTTTTTTTTACAGAAGCATAGTATTCCATTGTGTAGGTGTACCACAGGTTTTTAATCCACTCATCTGCTGATGGGCACTTCGGCTGTTTCCAAATCTTAGCGATGGTGAATTGTGCTGCTATGAACAAAGGGGTGCATATTTTCTTTCTAATCAGTATTTCTGGTTTCTTGGGTTATATTCCTAGAAGTGGGATCACCGGGTCAAATGGGAGTTCCATTTTTAGTTTTTTTGAGGAAACTCCATTTTGTTCTCCACAGTGGCTGCACCAGTCTGCATTCCCACCAGCAGTGCACGAGGGTTCCTTTTTCTCTGCACTTGCTGTTTGTTGATTTGTTGATGATAACCATTCTGACAGGTGTGAGGTGGTACCTCATTGTCATTTTGACTTACATCTGTCAGATGATTAGTGACTTTGAGCATGTTTTCATACTTTAATGCAATATGTGTGTGTATTTAATGATTTCTAGTTTTTAAAAAATATATTCTTATTGATTTCAGAGAGGAAGGGAGAGGGAGAGAGAAAGAGAAACCTCAATGAAAAGAGAGAATCATTGATCGGCTGCTATCTGCACGCCCCACACTGGGGGTTGAGTCCACAATCCGGGCATGTTCCTTGACTGGGAATCAAACTGAGGCCTCCTGGTTCCAACCACTGAGCCATGCCAGCTGGGATGCAATCTGTTCTTTAAAAAGTCAAAGTCAATGCAAACACATGATGAGAACAAAGTGTCAGAATGTGGAGACAGGACAGGCCCGGCAGCATTGTCTTGCAGTCACGTTGGACCGGGAGGCAGAAGGGGAAATCAGAGATGTTGATGGTTTTCATTTAAAATGTTGGCCTTTGGTTCTTGCGTGTATTCAGTACAAATGAGAGTAGTTTCCCCACCTGCAGGCTTTGGCAAATGTGTTTGGGGTTTCCGGATTTCAGGAAATTCTATGTGCCGCTCGGAGATGAAGCCAGATTGTGTTGATGGCACTCAGCTCCCTCCCCGCTCCCTTATGCTTCCAGTGGGCTCGGTGCTGCGGGCCCGGGAGCCTCAGCGGCGAGGGGCTCTCCCTAGAACTGCAGAAAGTCCGAGAATGAAAGACCCCGTTTCTCATTGAGTGCGGACAGTGTGGCTCCCCACCGTTTCTTTGGGAACCAGGACACATTTCCAGGACTAGATAGAGCGTTTTTGGGTAAACCTTTGTTGGCATATGGACAACACAGTTAATTACAACATTCCCTCCCTCTGTGGTCGGCAAACTGCAGCTTGCGAGCCACATGCGGCTCTTTGGCCCCTTGAGGATGGATCTTCCACAAAATACCACGGCCGGGGCGAGTCTATGTTGAAGAAGTGGCGCTTGGAGAAGTTTAGGTTTAAAAAATGTGGCTCTCCAAAGAAATTTCCATCGTTGTCATGTGGATATTTGGCTCTGTGGACTAATGAGTTGGCCGGCCACTGGTTTAACTGCTTGTTGGCCGTCATGCGCGGGCAGTGCGTGGACGTGTTTCACGGGCGAGGGAGAGGACTCAGGGGTCCCGGAGCCAACTGGAGAAAAGATGCGGCTCTTTGAGCCGTGCCGGCCCAGCCAGGTGTTTCTCGGGGAGAGTTCTCAGGCTATTGAAACAGATAAAAGCATGTTTCCTTATTCCTGGTTTTAAAAACTACTACTGTCTCCAAAATAGTAAATCACATGTAAAGGTGGACCACCTAATTTCAACACATTAGAAACCTAGAAAACACATAAAGTTTATCTCCACATGAGCCCTAGCAGGCAGAGAGTGCAATAATTAACCATAACTTTATTTTCCTCACATTTGTTACTTACAAAGTTCTGACCCACGTGGCCAGTGCCAGCCTCAGGAGGGGGCGTAATATTTACTTGAATATTTACCAAGGAAACCAGGCTATTCGATAGATGTTTCTACTTTAGCAGGCATACTTTAACCTTTGTTGGGCAACTTCTACATAACATGGGATCAGGAATGAAAATTGCTGTGAACCAAATATATCTGTTCATTCTAAACCATCTAATACTTGCATATTAAATGTCAAAGAATTAAGATACAATAAATATACGAATACTAAAATTGTAATGTGCACAGTTACTATTTGGTAACATCTCCTAAAGCTGTGGAAGTAGGAAAGGATGTGGTCATATAGATCCCTAGCTGTTGGATTTGTTTTTAAAAAAATATATATTTTTATTGATTTCAGAGAGGAAGGGAAAGGGATAGAGAGACAGAAACATCAATGATGAGAGAGAATCATCGATCAGCTGCCTCCTGCACGCACCCCACTGGGGACCAAGCCTGCAACCCAGGCATATGCCCTGACCTGGAATCGAACTGTGACCTCCCGGTTCATAGGTCGATGCTCAGATGCTCAGCCACTGAGCTACACTGGCCGGGCAGCTGTTTGTTGTTAATTGTGAGTGTTAATGAGTCTGAGTGAATAAAGGATTGACAATAGCTGCAGCTCCTTCTAGCAATGTGGACTCCGCATGTCATGAGGATTGAAAAGCGATAGCATTTCCTATCATAATAAATGACATCATTTTCTTTGTCTTTTTCTGAATCGACCTGTTACTCGTTTTCATTTTCAGAAATACTCCTTTTTTGCACTTGTTACCGATGTCTTAGAAATTGAGATCAAAGACAAATTCGCCAAGAGCCGTCCTATCATCAAGCGTTTCCTGGGGAAGCTGACCATCCCCGTGCAGCGGCTGCTGGAGCGCCAGGCCATCAGGTAACCAGCCCCCCCTCCCCTCGAACATCTCCGACTGGGCCTTTCAGGGGGATCGGGTGCACAGAACCAGCTGAAATGATGCTTTCATTTCCGGCCCTAGGCCTGTGCATACTGATAAGCAGTGATGACACATATCTTTTAAAAGTGGAAATGCTCCCACGTGAAAACGTGCAGGAGAAAGCGCTCTGGTTGAGTTACGCACTGGTTTGGGGTGTCTGTCTTTTCCCGGGTGGCCTGCTGCTAGCCTTTCTGCACCAGCTCGCAGGGCTCAGCGGAGCGAGCGGGGTCTTGTGGAATCTTTCTAGAAAGGCCTGTCCCCAGGGCAGGGTCCTGGTGTCAGGTTGACTCCTCCCCGATCTGGGTTGGTCCCATCTGGGAACTGGTTGACGGTAGAGCCCTTAGACATGTACATTCACTTAGGCGGCTGTCACTTACTTCTGCTGTCCGGGAGCCTTTTGTAAGTCGTGAGTAACGTAGGTAAGAAATGATAACACACCTCCTCCCCTCGTTATGAATGGCCTGTGGCTGTGTACATGGTGAGTGCCAGCAGATGCGGGGACACCGGCGCTCTGAGGCGGCACTTGGACTTCGGTCATTGTAGGAGAACGTGATGTGATGTGCAGGGGGCGGTTGCAGTAGCCATAGCAGCAGTGAAGGGAGTCATAGTAGTGAGAGGATCATAGTAGTAAGTGGAGTCATAGAAGTAAGAGGAGTCATAGTAGTAAGGGTAGTAATAGTAGTAAGGGTAGTAATAGTAATAGTAGTAAGGGTAGTAGTAATAGTAGTAAGGGTAGTAGTAATAGTAGTAAGGTTAGTAAAAGTAGCAAGAGTAGTCATAGTAGTAAGGGTAGTAGTAATAGTAGTAAGGGCAGTCATAATAGTAAGAGGAGTCATAATAGTAAGAGGAGTCATAGCAGTAAGGGTAGTCGTAGTAGTAAGGGTAGTCGCAGTAGTAAGGGTAGTCATAGTAGTAAGGGTAGTCATAGCAGTAAGGGTAGTCGTAGTAGTAAGGGTAGTCGTAGTAGTAAGAGTGGGGACAGCAGCCGTGTCAGCGCCGGCAGCACTCCTGGCTGTGGTTCCCAGCTGTACTCATCCTGGCAGAGCGAGGGAACAAAAAGGATGCCGAGACTCGCTCTCTGTCAGAGTTAAGCACCGGAGAAACATTAGCTCATGTCATCCTCTCAACAACTCTGGGAGGTGAAGAATGTCATTAAGCCCATTTCAGAGATGAGGAAGGAGAGGCCCCTGGGCAGGGGGCGGAGCTGGGAGCTGAGTGCAGCTCCATCCTCTCTGGACTCTGGGTTCTCTGCAGCCAGGGAGGAGTGAGGGCCACAGGAACGTCCTTTGGCTGGCGACCTGGGGGAGGCGGGCACCCGCGTTCCCCTGCAGCTGATTCGCTGGGTTGGCACCACGGCTTCCAGGGCCTTTTATTTAACAAATGTGTGTATGGGTGTGTGTTTGGGTATGTGTGTGTATGGGTGTGTGTGTATTTGGGTGTGTGTGTATGTGTGTGTGTATTTGTGTATGGATTTATGTGTATGTCAGTAGGGTGTGTATATGTGTATGTGTATGGGTGTGTGTATGTTTGGGTATGTATATGTATGAGTGTGTGAGTATGGGTGTGTATATGTTTGGGCATGTATGTGTATGTGTGTATGAGTGTGTATGTGTTTGAGTGTGCATGTTTGGGTGTGTATGTATTTGGGTGTATGTGTGTGAGAGTATGAGTGTGTATATGTTTGGGTGTGTGTGTGTATGGGTGTTTGTATGGGTGTGTATGTATTTGGGTGTATGTGTGTATAGGTGTGTGTATATGGGTTGTTTGTATATGGGTATGTGTGTGTTGGTTGTTGGGGATGTGATAGTGAACAAAACAGATGGGGCAGTTCTGTCTTTCCAATCCCTCTGCACATTTATTTCCTACTAAAAACCATCCCTTTTATGTCTTCCTCATCAACACAAACACTTTGCTTTTATTGCCAAAGGAGGAGAGGAGAGGAGGGGAGAAAAGAGGAGGGGAAGAGAAGGTTAGTTTAGTTTTCCCAAGGAAAGGAAGGTTTTTATTGATCCAGGACTGCGTGTCCACAGAGCAGGCGAGGAGCTAAAATGTAGGGAGCTGACCTGTGAGGCTTGCTGCTGGGCCTGTGTGTTAGGTTCAGAGATGGAGCGCGTGGGTGCGCGTGTGCGCGGGCGTGTGTGTGTGTGTGTGTGTGTGTGTGTCTGTGTATGTCAGGTGAGGAAGAGGACCCCTTGATCTGCAGCCAGTGTGTAATATGATTTCAACACTAACGTGGAAGCATCCCACGCACCTGTCATGTCTAATTGTCACCAATTCCTCCTCAGAAAAAAGTTTTAAAATACTAAGTTTAGTTGGAAAAGCATCACGATGGGGTCACACTGAGGTGAGCCATGAGGAAATGCATGTCACAAAGACACGTGTTCCTGAGAGAAGTACAATCACACATTCTATGTGAAAGGAGGTTGACGGGGACAGCAGGGCCGGGCTTCCGTGTCCTGACTCTGGCTCTGTCCCCCCCTCGTGTCTGGGGGAGGGCAGGTTGCTTCTCCTCCCTGTGCCGTCACCTCTAGCCAGCAGGGCCTCCCCCAGAGCATGCTGGGAGGGTAAAAGAGAAGATGCAGGCAGAGTCCTCCTGCAGAGTGTGAGCGACAACACAGAGACTCAGTTTGGGGAAACAAGGCATTTTAAAAGCATCAGCCAAGACCAGACAAGTCCTCGCCGCGTCCAGAGAAGGAAAAGAGAGTGGGGAGGGGTGTGGTCCTGGTTTATGCAGTGGAGTCGAAGAACGTCGTAGGAGCTGACCTGGGATCGCACACCAGCCCGTGCTTTCCTACACAGACAGCATCCACTTCGCATTGCGCCGATGCAAATTTATCTGTAACCGCCCCCTGGGGCCTGCACTGCACCTGCCAGCAGCAGGGAGAGGTGCGGCGCCTCCGGCAGCGGCCAGCAGAGGGCAGTGTGGGAGCGGAGATGGCGGGCCTGGGGACCAGGCCGTGGATGACTTCATTAAATATAGGTCAGACTGGAAATGAAAATTGCTTGCATACCAAGCACTGATGTAATTGCAGTTGACGTTGATAAATAAACATGGAATTGAAAAGACAGACAGTTCCATCCCGAGGAGGCTGGGAACCTGAGCCAGGAGCCGAGGTGGGGCAGAGCCTGCGCAGGCCACATGGGGTCCCCTCAGCACGCCTGCCAGGGTGGCAGTGAGACCCACCCAGGGGGCACATCCACCTCCTCCAGCCGTCCCATCGGCGGGGGCCAACACCCCCTGACGGTGCAGGTGGACGGGGAGGTTCAGCACCCGCTCCTCACTCCGCGGGAGCAGCTGTCGGTGTGGCTGCCGCCCCCCCTCTCCCCCAGCCCGTTCTTCAGAACGCAGTGCTCTCCAGGACCGGGTGTGAGAACCCTGGCCTGTGGGTCCTTCCAGAACCAGCTTCCTGATGAGCTGGGTGCCAAGGAACCAGGCCCCCTGTGCCTGCACCTGAGCCCGGAAACCCCCCTCCTGCCAGGCCTTTCACAGCTCCTCCGTGATTCCCCATGTCTCTCCCCCTGCACCCTTCACAGCGAGAGCGAACCAGGACACTTAAAAACCCCACGTGGCCGAAACCGGTGTGGCTCAGTGGATAGAGCGTCGGCCTGGGGATTGAAGGGTCCTGGGTTCGATTATGGTCAAGGACATGTACCTTGGTTGCGGGCACATCCCCAGTAGGGGGCGTGCAAGAGGCAGCTGATCGATGACTCTCTCTCATCGATGTTTCTAACTTTCTCTCCCTTCCTCACTGTAAAAAATGAACACGCTATACTGTATTTTCTGCTTTTACTAATCATTTTCCTCCTAGCAAGATTTCCTTTTTTTTTTTTTTATGTATTTTTGTTGATTTCAGAGAGGAAGGGAGAGGGAGAGGGAGAGATGGGGGGAGAGAGAGAGAGAGAGAGAGAGAGAGAGAGAGAGAGAGGGAGAGAAACATCAATGATGAGAGAGAATCATGGATTGGCTGCCTCTTGCACACCCCACCCTGGGGACGGAGCCCACAACCCGGACATGTGCCCTTGACTGGGAATCAACCGTGACCTTCTGGTTTATAGGTCAACGCTCAACCACAGGGCCGTGCCAGGCTGCGAAGATTTCCTTTAAGTATTCACTTGTTCGAGTGAATAGTATTGCATTGGACTCACACATGCCTTTGAGCCTCTTATTTTCTTATGAGTCTGCAAGTGTTAAGAGAAGCACGTGGGATTCGGGGCGGTGGGCGAGGCCGGGCAGGAGGGGATGTGGGAGAGGACAGGGGCTGGCACCAGTGCGGAAGGATGAACACCCTTTCTCCTCCGCAGCGACCAGATGCTGAGCTACAGCCTCGGCAGAAGGCTGCCCGCCGACCACGTGAGCGGGTACCTCCAGTTCAAAGTGGAGGTTACGTCCTCCCTGCACGAAGGTGAGAAGCCGGGATAAGTCCGTCCGTGTGGGGGAAGGCGTCGCGTCTGCGTGGTCCGTGTGCGGGTGCATAGATAGGCTCCGATGGGCGTCCTGTTCTGAAAATAAGAACAGCGGCCCAGGCGTGACCCGGAGGTTAGAGGGTCCCGCGGCGACGCCACGCCTGCTTACCAGAACCATCTCCCAGGCGCGGGCACCTGCAGGTGGGCACTGGTGGTCGCCTGTCCACAGCAGTGCACGCATACGCTGCCTGTGTCCGTGTGCCCGGCAACAGGCCCGCTCCCAGCGAGGCGTGAGTCCCAGCGCCTTAGCGATGGCGGGAGGAGGGCTCAGGGGGAGGACTGCGCCCTGTGTCGGGGCGGTTGACCAGGGAACAGGACGGGAGACGTTCATCGGTGACGCACGCCGCTTTCTCCCGCAGATGCTTCCCCGGAAGCCGTGGGCACGATGCTGGGGGCCGGCTCTGTGAACGGAGACTTGGGCAGCCCTTCGGACGAGGAGGAGGTGACCGGGGCCCACCCCGACGGCCCGGCCTGCCCCAACGGGCCGGTGTCCGAGGACAGCGCCGAGGGCACGCCCAAGCACTCCTTCGGGACCAGCTCCGCCCTGGACGTGGACGCCGAGGACCTGACCTCCACGTCCTCACGGAGCTCGCCGCCCCGCGGGCGCCAGGCTTCCCTCCAGGACTACCTGGGCGCCGGGGACCACGACGGCCCTGCCCGGCCGGGCCCCGCGCCTGGCGAGCGGCCCACGGGGGCCTCCCCGAAGCTGAGGAGCAGCTTCCCCACGGACACCAGGCTCAGCGCCATGCTCCACATCGACTCCGACGAGGAGGACCACGAGCTGCCGCCCGGCCTGGGCTCCCCGTCGTCCCCGGAGGACGAGGGGGGCCTGATCATGTTCGGGGGGCCGCCGAGGACCGACGACGACGCCGGCAGCCTGTCCTCGCAGACGAAGCCGGAGGACACCCCGCTGGAGGCCCAGGAGGGCCCCACGCAGGAGGCCCCCTCCCCGGAGGGGAAGCCGGAGGGCCCCCCCGAGCTGGCCGAGGGCCCCTCCCCGGCCGGCCCTGCCCCCGGGGAGAGCGAAGAAGATGGGCCAGCGTCTCAGCCCAGCGCCGACCCGGACGGCACGGAGCCCTGCGGCTCCCAAGAGGCGGACCCCACCCCGCGGGGGGCAGACACGGGCCCCCCCGACACGCCGGGAGGAAGCCAGAGGGCCGCCAGCGAGGCCGAGTCCCTGGACCAGGGCTCTGAGCCCTCTCAGGTGTCCTCGGAGACGGAGCCCAGCGACCCTGCCCGGACCGAGAGCGTGAGCGAGGCCAGCACCCGGCCCGAGGGCGAGAGCGACGCGGAGGGCGCGGACAGCTCCTGCCACGAGAGCGCCGCCACGCAGCTGTCCTCCGTGGACACGCGCTGCTCCTCCTTCCCCGACACCCCCACCTTCTCCTCCCAGGAGGAGGAGGAGGACAGGGCCTGCGCGGGGGAGCCCCCCGGCGGCCGCCCCGCGTCCCGGGGGCCGCAGGAGGCCTCGTGCGCGCCGGGCTCCCTGCCTGCCGTGCACATGCCCAGCGCCGAGGAAGAGGGGCCCGGGGGGGAGCCAGCCCCCTTCCCCGACCAGGACCAGGACCAGGACCGGGACCGGGACCGGGACCGGGACCGGGACCGGGACGAGGGCGGGGAGGTCTGGCAGCGGAGGGGCAGCCTCGAGGGAGCGGCTGCCCCCGTGGAGAGCCAGCCCCAGGAAGAGGGCGATGCCGGCCATGCCCCGGGGGCTGGTGAAGGGGCCGCCGCCCAGGAGGAGGGCGCCACTGGAGGTAGGAGGTGGGGGGCAGCATGGCGCTGGGCTCAAGCCGCCTGCCAAAGAGGGGTCCGATGGCCTTGTCCCTTCGTGCCCCTTAGGCTGCAGGGAATGCATGCGTCACTGCAGGGCTCAGTGGTTAGCGCTGTTCGTATTCTTCAACAGACCTTCCGATGCTGAGAGAAGAGGCCAGTCTGAGAAGTCTTGAGGCTTAGAGAGTGGGTCTTGAGGCTCCAGGTCAGGAATATGTTGTGGGGACCTGCCCTCCCCAGGAGGATGGCCCGTGGGGGGCGGGGGGTGCTGGGGGCCTGGAGGGCCTCGATGCCTGAGGACAGGTGCGCAGGCGTGAACTGCACGGGGGACACACACACACACACACACACACACATGCGCAGCCATGAGGCCCTGGTCTGGGCAGCATAAGAGCAGAACTGAGCGTACACGACGCATCTCAGGTGGGACCTGAGTTTGCAGACACAGAACCACGCGGGCCAGCTGCTTCAAGGTCAGTGTGGCCGCAGGGGTTTTCGGAGACACCTGGAGGTTCACCTGCTCGGGTGCAGCTGGCAGAGGAGAAAGGGATGAGGGCTTTGCATCAGGTGGAATGCATTTGCCGAGTCTCTGAGTGTCTCGGGGTGCAGATGGACATAGAAACCGTATTGTGTGTCCACGAAGGTGGACTATTCCTTTCAAATGTTCCATTACAGATGCACCAACGAGCCGAAGGGTAATTTCCTCAACAGCACAGACTCAGAAATGGGAAGGGTTTTCTGACTCTGACATTTATTTTTTTTAAAATACATTTTAATCGATTTTAGAGAAGCAGGAAGGGAGAAGGAGAGAGAGGCAGAAACATCGATGAGAGAAAAGCATCCATGGGGCTGCCTCCTGCACGCCCCCTACTGGGGCTCCAGCCCACCACTGGGGCCTGTGCCCTGACAGGGAATCGAGCTGTGACCTCTCCGTTCATGCACCTGAGCCACACTTCCTTTCCTAGCTAAAGGGTGCCCCTTCCTTTCTTCTTCCCCCTCCTGTTGTGGTTGCTTTGTTTCTTCCTTACGCTGTGGCCATATGTGTGGGAGGTGACCCTAAAGCATGAGCCCATGACCAGGACATCGGTGGGTGGGGAGGGGAGGGGGGAGATGGGTGTAGCTGGACGTCTCTCGAGATCCCGGTCACCTCCTGTTTTCTTCTCTTTCTGGGTCTTCCTGTGGGAAGTGAGACTCCAGAGAGAGAGAGAGAGGAGACTAGCCCCCTCATCGGTTAGGGTTTCAGTACAGTATCGCATTCATGTGCTGCTGGTCTGTACGCCAGGTCTGTCTGACTGTTTAAGATCGCGGACACGGGGCGGGGGCGGCACCTGGGATAACATGTACCTCTGATCCTAGGTGCCCAGGCCAACGGCCACCAGCCCCTGCGCTCGCTGCCGTCGGTGCGCCAGGATGTCAGCCGGTACCAGCGGGTGGACGAGGCGCTCCCACCAAGTGAGGACCTGCCGGGGAGAGGGTCACCCGGAAAACGGGGCGCGGGGTGGGGGGCAGAACACACGGGTCCTGAAAATGGATGCCCAGTCCCCAGCCAATGCAGTGTGGAAGGTGACCTGTGTGGAGGGTGACTCTGTGTGGAAGGTGACCCTGTGGAAGGTGACCCTGTGGAAGGTGACCCCGTGTGGAAGGTGACCCCGTGGGAGGTGACCCCGTGTGGAAGGTGACCCCGTGTAGAAGGTGACCCCGTGTAGAAGGTGACCCGTGTGGAAGGTGACCCCGTGGAAGGTGACCCTGTGGAAGGTGACCCCGTGTGGAAGGTGACCCTGTGGAAGGTGACCCTGTGGAAGGTGACCCCGTGTGGAAGGTGACCCCGTGTAGAAGGTGACCCCGTGTAGAAGGTGACCCGTGTGGAAGGTGACCCCGTGGGAGGTGACCCCGTGTGGAAGGTGACCCCGTGTAGAAGGTGACCCCGTGTAGAAGGTGACCCGTGTGGAAGGTGACCCTGTGGAAGGTGACCCTGTGTGGAAGGTGACCCTGTGGAAGGTGACCCTGTGGAAGGTGACCCTGTGGAAGGTGACCCCGTGTGGAAGGTGACCCCGTGGGAGGTGACCCCGTGTGGAAGGTGACCCCGTGTAGAAGGTGACCCCGTGTAGAAGGTGACCCGTGTGGAAGGTGACCCCGTGGAAGGTGACCCTGTGGAAGGTGACCCCGTGTGGAAGGTGACCCTGTGGAAGGTGACCCTGTGGAAGGTGACCCCGTGTGGAAGGTGACCCCGTGTGGAAGGTGACCCCGTGGAAGGTGACCCCGTGTGGAAGGTGACCCTGTGGAAGGTGACCCCGTGGAAGGTGACCCTGTGGAAGGTGACCCCGTGTGGAAGGTGACCCTGTGGAAGGTGACCCTGTGGAAGGTGACCCCGTGTGGAAGGTGACCCCGTGTGGAAGGTGACCCCGTGGAAGGTGACCCCGTGTGGAAGGTGACCCTGTGGAAGGTGACCGTGTGGAAGGTGACCCTGTGGAAGGTGACCGTGTGGAAGGTGACCACCACCACTGTCCCCCTGCCTCCGGAAGGGCAGGGACCTGCTCTCCTGCTCCAGAGCCAGAGATCTGATCCACTGCTGTTTGTACTTCATACCGATATTTCTTGGGGAAAATTCTTAGTTTGTCCAAGGAAAAAGTTGAAGACAAGTTTTTTTTGTTTTTTGTTTTTTTTTTGTCAGAAAATGGAACTGTGTTTTCTTTTTTTGCTTTAGCTGCCAGGAAATTTAGCCAAATTGTAGTTATGACCTTAGCGGGGGAGCTTGGCAGCGTCTCTCCTTTGCTTCCTGTACATTGCTGTCCGCTCTGTTTTTATCCCCAGTTGACCTAGCCTGTGTTTTGTTTTTGTTTTGTTTTTGTTGTTTTTTTCCTCAACTGGAAGCCATTGATTGCACACATTCCCGGGGAGGGATGGCCGTTTGTTTCCATGCACGTTTGGTTTGATATAGAGCATCTGCCTGGATCATGGCAGCTCCATCGAGGAGAGGGGCTGAGAAGGGAATACTTGGTTCTCAGGAATCTTTGGGATGAGGACGTGTGCAAGGAGAGAGCGAAACCTCGGAGCAGATCCGAGGGTTTGGAAAGTGGGTCCTAGAATCAGGACCCCGTGGTTGCTCTTGGTCGGCGGGTGGCGGGTTGAGCCCAGGACCTTTTGGGAATGTCCTGCTGAGGGGGGTGTGGCCGGGGCCAAAGAGTTCAGACCCGCAGCCTGGCTCCTGCGCATGTCTGCCTTCTCTGTGCTTTTCCTCAGCCCAGTTTTTCTTTCCTTTGCCATATGCCGGGCACCCCATTGTGCTGAGATCAGCGAAAAAAAGACCTTTTGCTGCCCCCCTCCCCCCCCCACAGCAGTCCTCCGTGATTGTCTAGTGCCGGCCGGCCGGCCAGCCGGGGTCTCGCATGCAGCCTTGCCAGCCCTGGGACTTGGCTGGAATACTTGCCCGTTCGACATGTTCGGCCTGGCCCCCAGGGCGCGGCCTGTGGTGTCTGTCCATTAGCTGTGTAATCACAGGAGCGTTTTGAAACAATCAAGCTGCTTAGGGGAAAGGGGCTTATTAATGTGGAGAAATAATTAGGATGGAAAGGGAAATGTGCGAGGACTTGCCTGGTTAAAGAACAGACCTCTGCTGCTTTCCCACGTCAGTGACTCTTCCCAACTGCGCCTGATTCTGAAGATTTTTGCCTTTTGAAACCATGAGCTCATGCTCCGGGCATTTTAATAGGGGAGAGCCTTTGATCGGGTCCCGGAGCTGGGAGGTTTGGCCCTGAGGACCGCTCTGCTAGCTGTTTGCACCGCACGTGCACTTATGTGCTTGTGTGCAAAGACGCACACAGTAATCAGCGAGACTGCTTACGCGTACCATTAGACAGTCCTTTAAAATGTCGTGCTGCTGGGAGGTGGGGGGCAGTCATGTGTTCTGGCTCTGAACACGTGCTCGTCTGTGGAACCGTGCAGACCGGGCACGGGGGCAGTGGTGCTGTGTGCGGGCTGGGCTGTGTTCTTATCTTCTGAAGACCATTTCCTAAAATTGTATGTAAATATGCACGAAGACGTTTCCAGCAGTGAGGGTGTTTTTTTTTTTTTTTTTTTTTTTTTAATTTTCAAAAATTGATTTCATAGGGAAAGGGAGAACGGGAGAGAGAGAGAGAGAGAAACATCCATGATGAGAGAGAATCATTGATCGGCTGCCTCTTGCACGCCCCCTGCTGAGAATGGAGCCTGCGACCAGAGCCTGTGCCCTTGACGGGAATAGAACCTGGGACCCTTCAGTCCACTGGCTGACACTCTACCCATTGAGCCACACTGGCTAGGGCCAGCTATGAGATTTTTTATGTAAGTTGGGGGGCGGGGGGAGAAACAGGAAAAAAATCTTGCTTTGGGGAAAGCAAACAGCAGTACCAATTTTGACGGGAATGCCTTAGGATACCAATTATATCTTAAAAATACTGGTGCTCATCCCTAAGGATGAGTGTCATGGGCCGTTCTGTGCGTTCAGAGCGTCTTTAAAGGCTGGCATTCTGCATGCAATGCGGTCTTCACCAGGCCTTCTAAGAGAAAAGCGCTATCATTATGTGACAGCCAGCTGACCATTCCACGGGGCCACAGGGTGACACGTAAATGTAACTAAATGTGATTAAATGCTGCATAGATTTATGTTTCAAAAGAAGTGATCTGGCCCTGGCTCAGTGGATAGAGCATCAGCCTGCAGACTGAAGGGTCTCAGGTTTGATTCCAATCAAGGGCATGCACCTTGGTTGTGGGCACATCCCTAAGTAGGGGGTGTGCAGGAGGCAGCTGATGGATGTTTTCTCTCTCATCGATGTTTCTAACTCTCCATCTCTTTCCCTTCCTCTCTGTAAAAAAATCAATAAAATGTGTGGGTTAAAAAAAAAAAAAGAGGTGGGCATTCTGCACCGAGGACCTGGTTACTAAGTGGGTGCAGCAGAGTCAGTCAGGGTGGACGGAGGGGGGTGGCGGGTTATGCAGCGTGGCCCCACATGATAGCGTGTCGGAGGGGAAACGGGTGCTGAGTGGACCACGTGGACAGCTCGGCTCCTCCTAACCCTCCAGACTGGGAGGCGCGCATCGACAGCCACGGCAGGATCTTCTACGTGGACCACGTGAACAGGACCACGACGTGGCAGCGGCCCACGGCGCCCCCCGCCCCGCAGGTGCTGCAGAGGTCCAACTCCATCCAGCAGATGGAGCAGCTGAACCGCAGGTGAGGGCGGCGCTGTGGGTGGGCTCAGGGTTGGTTACCGGGTGCGAAGGCGGAGACACGCTTTCCTCTCCGCGTGTCCTGTCATTAAGGTGTAGGTGCTACATCTTAGGATGCATAGGTTTTGTTGAACTTGTCTCCGTTAAAAAAATAATACCCCACACACTACCACCACCACCTACACTACACGGGCGCATACACACACACACCACACACACACACACACACACACACACCAAACACACGCATGCCCATGTGCGCGCACACAGCTGGTTTGGACACTGGAAAGGAAATATATGATGCTGACCCTGTTCGTCAACCCAAGGCATTGCCTTTTAGTGAGCCGAATACGTTTTTTAATTTCTAGAACCTCCATTCATGATGCATCCTTATTATCAATGGAAGCTTTTTGGTCTGTCCCTTTTCAGGTACTAATTGCTATAGAGCAAAAAGTTGTTTCTTCTTGAACAATAGCGGGATTTCGTGTTCTTTGGTTAAAGACCACAATTTAAAAAAAAAATGTGTTAGGAAAATGTCCACAAGCGATGGACAGAGGAAATCCAATGCAACGTGACGTACTGAATTGAGAGAGTGCCCGGCGGGCCAGGGGATGGAGGTTTGGGAGGAAGGGGCCGAGGCAGGGCTGACCGCGGAGACTTAGGGCTCGGGAAGCGGTGAGGTCCCAGGGCTCAGGGCTGCTGAGAGGTGACTAAGCTCCTGCGGTTAGGTACCAGAGCATCCGCAGAACCATGACGAACGAGAGGCCCGAGGAAAACGCCAGCGCCCTCGATGGGGCCGGGGAGGAGGCCGACTTCCACCAAGCCAGCGCAGGTACCGGCGGGCGGGTGGTGGGCGCCGCGGTGGCACCAGAGCAGCACACAGCTGCAGTGAGGATTGCCCAAACATGAGGCTTTTCTCGTAGAGAACACTGGATCTTCGATAAGATCCGTCAATCCAGCTCCAAAAGTAGAATCCACCAGGGACCTCTTACCCCTTACTCCTTGACTTTGTATTAGGACTGCGAAAAGAATCACGAACCCACGTAGAAAATAAGTTCCGTTAATCTCTGGATCTGTGGGCTAGTGGGCAAAGACCGAGTCGGTCACTGATAGCATCATCGGATGCATTCAGATGGGAACGGACCGGAAAGGCCCTCAGCTTCACTTCAGCCGAATGAGGAGCCACCAGGTTTTTGGGGTGAATTTACATCGGGGACAGACGCGTTGGGGGATAAGACAACACAGGAAGCGTGGAAGGTGTCCCCAGGTGGCCGCGAGTAGGCGCGTGTGTGCCACGTGGACAGCTCTCCCTGAAAGCCGTTCTGGTCTGCCCCCCCTCCCCCCGCCCCCGCAGATTTCCGCCGTGAGAACGTCCTGCCGCACTCTACCTCCAGATCCAGGCTCACGTTGCTGTTACAGTCTCCCCCTGTGAAGTTCCTCATCAGCCCCGAGTTCTTCACCGTGCTACACTCGAACCCTGTGAGTATCGCATGGGAGAGAAAGTGCTGGGAAAAGGACATCTTCCCCATGCGCGTGTGTGTGAGTGTGTGTGTGTGTTTGTGTGTGTGTGTGTGTGTGTGTTTGTGTGTGTGTGAGTGTGTTTGTGTGAGTGTGTGTGAGTGTGTTTGTGTGTGTGTTTGTGTGTGTGTGTGAGTGTGTGTGCGTGTGTGTGTGAGTGTGTTTGTGTGTGCGTGTGTGTGTGTTTGTGTGTGTGAGTGTGTTTGTGTGTGTGTGTGAGTGTGTGTGAGTGTGTGTGAGTGTGTGTGTGTGTGTGTGAGTGTGTTTGTGTGTGTGTGAGTGTGTGTGAGTGTGTGTGTGTGTGAGTGTGTTTGTGTGTGTGTGTGTGAGTGTGAGTGTGTTTGTGTGTGTGTGTGTGTGCGTGTGTGTGTGTGTGTGTGTGTGTACAGTAGTAGGAATGATGACAGCTGATGTTGATCAAGCACCACATGTGCACCAGGCACCATGGTAAGCACGCTGTATGGTTTGACCCATTCCCCCAGAGTTTTGGGTTAGACGAAAAGTCCTTGTTTCCAGATGAGGAAATGGAGGCACAGAGAGGTTAAAGACGACCCCCAAGGTCATACAGCCGCTCAGGGTATCTGGAGGTTAATGTTTCAGAGATGGTGACTGGGGTTTATGCCGTGAAGGACCACCAGGCGGCAGTTCTGAAGCTCAGCAGACTTTTTATAAATAAACTAGAGGCCCGGCGCACGGAATTCATGTGGGGGTACGGTCCCTAGGGCCGGCCTGTGATCAGGGCCATCTTCCCTGACTGCTGGCTGCCGCCACCCAATCCAGGTTCACCGTTTGCCATCAGGTGATTGGAGCCTGCCAGCTGGGGGAGGGACTGAGAGGTGGTCACTGCACCTCATTAGCGGCTGGTCGAGTGGTCATTCTGCCTTTCAATTTGCATATTACTCTTGTATATGTATAGATGCATCCTCTTGGTTCTCAAACTTCAGAGATTCTGGTTTAATAGGTGTAGTGTACATCCTAAGAGCCCTTATTTTTTTTTTAAAGATCCTTAAGTGATGCTGATGTAATTGGTCTGTGACCCATAGTTTGGGATTTCCACATATAAGGAGCTGTTGCATTTACGACGTCACTGCCTTGGGCACACGGTAATTCATCAGGACTAACGGACTTTCACGGCTGAACAGTCTCAGCGGACTACAGGCTTCTTGTTTATTTGGTTTGCATGTTGGCTCTGGTCTTCCCTCTTCTTTTTGTGGACATGATTTTAAAACTCCTTTTGCTGGGAAGCCCATCTTGATTTTAAACAGTTTTTCCCAAAGCACTTAAATTGCGTTTGCTTTTCCTGCCTGGACTGCGTACATTCCTGACTGTACAATGATTGATTAATGCTGTGGATCCAGCACCGCTATGAGATTGAAACCCCGTGGGGTGTATCCCGGATGTATGCGTGGCAAGAAGGGTAGTAGCTGGATGTTTTTTGCTGATTGTCTCAAGATAGGAATTTATGGGATACGTCAGCCCATTTTTGGTGAAGGGCACTACTTGTCGGCATTTCTTCTTTTTCTTAGATTAATGGAAAATATCACAAAACAAACTTTATTTGGTTTCCTTGTTTTAAGATTTATTATCTAGCCTTTTTCCCCCCTGAGTTGTTTATTATCTACAACTGTAGCAATAAACTCCCTGTTTGTATTATTGAAAGTGTTCAGCATAGAAAGGAGTATATTAATGTAAAAGCTTTCCTAGTTCTCTTTTCTTTTTATGTTTTGAAGTTATCGGTTTGTTTTAAGCTAGACATAAAAACATAGATTTCGTATAGCAGTATTTTACTTAATTATCTTTATTGAGAAGAACATAATTAAGTAAATATACGGTTGTTATAACTCTAAAGGAAAACTGGAAAACAAAATATTGGTGTTTTTTTTTTTTTTTTTTTTTTTTTTTTTTTTTCTGTTTTGCATGATGGTTGCTTTAAGATATGTTCTACTGCCCTCTGTTGGTTGTGATCAGATTTCTTCCAAATTGTCCAGATCAGAGGTCAGCAAACTCATTAGTCAACAGAGCCAAATATCAACAGTACAAAGATTGAAATTTCTTTTGAGAGCCAAATTTTTTAAACTTAAACTATATACGTAGGTACATTGTTATTAACTTAATTAGGTACTCCTAAGCTGGCCTTTGCTAAAAACTCAAGGGGCCGAAGAGCCACAGTTTGCCAACCACTGGTGCAGATAAACCATTTCTCCTGATAAATCTAGATTTACTAGTAATTATTACTGACATGTTTTTTACAGATAGTATGCCTGTATGTGTCCAATAATTCTGTCATAAATATATTCATTATATGCAACTGGATAATATTTCCAACATACATGCCAAATCATTATTACTCTGGCTTTTAATAAGCTCTAGAAATACATTAATCCCACCATATAAAATTTTTAGTGCTTAATGAAGAAAAACATTGTTCTGAAATATATAAATATATTTTTGCAAGTCAGGTATTCCTACTATTAGATGGATTGAGGTAAGTTAATAACTTTGGTCAATAAGTTAAATTTTCCTTCCATTTTAAGTCTTTAGCTAGATGAGAGTAATGTAAAATCCCTCTTATTAAAAATACAGACAAAACGTCTAAGACAAAAATAAAGACAGTCTGTGTAAGGTAGGGCTGTTTCCATAACCTAGCAAACAATGGTACTTGATTTTGTTTATAATGAGCCTCTTTCCTCTATACAGATGTTTACATCTGCTCCCACATGGGCCTGCTGGTTGAACTCCTGGTTAAGGGGACAATTTGCATGTTAGCCTTTTATTATATAGGATATACACTGAGTGGCCAGATTATTATGTATTCAGAGATCACAATAATCTGGCCACTCAAGTGTGTGTGTGTGTGTCTGCTGGCTGGTCAATTTGCATATACACAAATAGTATATATGTTGAATAACGTGTAAAATAGAATAAACTTGCAGGTGAATAACCCTACGTGTAGTTTCTTTATAAAAGGGTAGCGTCTGGAGGGGTGTTTCTGTTTGGCCGCGTGTTCTGCGTGGGCCCCGATAGTCACGTGCATGCTGCAGAGACGGGAAAACCGCCGGTGCTCGAGGTTACCCACCAGTCCCTAATGAGAGAAGTCTTTCTTGTACTTAATTTGCTTTGGCCGATGCTTATTGCAAAGACCAGTTGAGCCTGGCACTCTATTTCGTGTCTCATTGAGTGGAGGGGAGGAAGATAAAAGACCTCAATTAATTGGAAGAGCAGCCGAAGACTCCTCCGGTGCGCAGAGCTGTCCAGCCCCAGGGGCTCGCTTCCGGCCCGAGGCTGGGGCAGGCTGCTCGCCTCATTATGGCCGCTGCTCGTCCTAATGAAGTCCTGCTGCTTCCCTGTGGCGAGGGAGGAGCAGGCCCGGCGCTCCGGATAAAGGTCAGGATGGAGCCTGTTGAGTTGCTTCAATGTGAGGAGAGAGAAATGAGTATCAAGAGATACGCCGATTTACAACAACGGCTAATGGAACGATTTATCAGACGGAGTTATCCCACCTTCATGTGTCCCTGGCTGTGACCTGGGAGCTCATCGCCGTTGCCTCCAGACAGGCCGGTGTGGTCTGGGGCCTCTGAGCCTGCAGGGGCCCCTGTGGAAACAGATCGCAGCTCAGAGCCAAGGGCAGCAAACAGATGCTTTGCGGAGTGTTCGTTCCACGCCAAGGCAGGGTCAGCCATGGGCTAAGCTATTAATTAGCTAACGTTCGCCTCTCACAGCCTTTGCCTGCTTTTATTAGCCTCCATCTCTGCTTTCATGCTATCGCCGTCTTTTCTCTAATGCCCTCTAATTGACCACAGCCCTGCACAGGCATGCCGGCTTGGCAGACTCTGTGCTGGGGACCTCAGTTTCTCACAGCTGTCAGAGCCTGCTCTGGGCTAGACAGGTTGAAATGTGACCTCCATATACTGTATACTCACTCGGGCGTACTAGGGAACTAGAGTACAGTAGTATTTGGGAATGGTTCAATGTGTTCTTTCTTCCTTCCCTCTTTCCTTCCTTTCGTCTTGAAAGGAAGAAAATATTTTAATGCAAAGTAAAATAGAGGGAAAAATACCTATGTAAGAGGTATGAAGTCCAGGCAGTGCTGTCTTCCATTCCATTCCCTGAGCTGATGCCTCTCAGAAGGTGTGAGGTGAACCATCTCCCTCTGCTATGGTCTCAGGTGAACACAGCTGGACTGTGAGAGCATCTCCTCTTAGCATGTGGCCAAGCACTCCCCCACAACCTGACTTCTCCGTGTGTGCCCTCTGCATCATAGGCGCTCAGCGGGGGACTGCGTGCCCGTGATCTGTCCCGATGCTTCAGAAAAGCGGGCTCTTTGGGGGCTCTCTGGAAGGTGGTCTTCCGCCTGGTGTGATTTTGATTTATTCCCTACAGAATGAGACTCCATGGCCTTCTTCCTCATCAGACATTTAGACATCATCGGGAAAGACAGCCTTGCCTTCTGTAGCCTTTCTATAGGATTTTGATCAAAATGCATTCTTCTGTGTCTGCCCTACTGTGTGTGGGTCTAGAGCTACTTTGGAGGCTGGCTGCCAACACACACCCGTGTGCGCATGGAGCAGACAACTTGTGCCCATGTGGCTCCTGCCTGTCCCCAGGGTTAACCTTGGTTCTCCATCCTTTCTCCAGAGTGCCTACCGCATGTTTACAAACAACACGTGTTTGAAGCACATGATCACCAAAGTCCGGCGGGACACCCACCACTTTGAACGCTACCAGCACAACCGGGACCTTGTGGGATTTCTCAACATGTTCGCCAACAAGCAGCTGGAGCTGCCCAGGGGCTGGGAAATGAAGCACGACCACCAGGGCAAGGTAACCTGCATGGGGCTCTGCCCGTGGCGTCCAGGGGAGGCCCTTTGGGAGGGATCACAGGCCAGCTCCTGGGTTCTAGCAAAACCGGGACCAGCAGGCTGTCTCTACAACTTCACTGCACACCTCAGAAGTAGGTGTGGGGGCGTTCACTCCTGAGACAGTCCTGTTAGCCTGGTTCTGCTTCCCCTGTAACCTCTCACCATTTTCTGCGGGTCAGGGAAGAGGTGGAACAGCTCATGTGATGGAGAGTTGAACAACAGTAGCGTTGTTTGGTGTTGGTATCTAGGAGGTTGCTAAGCAACCACACAAGGTGTGTTTTTGTGATGCTGTCCGGGTTTGGGCCTCAGTCCTGTTGGTTCAGATCTGGATTTTGTTAGCACGTCCAACAGGAACACAGATGGATTTGTGTGTGATGAGCAATGCACAGCTGGTCTCGCAGGCCGAGGAGCCACCTGTGTGGTTACTTCCTTTGTAGACGGTGAACCGGAAAGCTGGGATGTAAGCAGGAGTTTGTCACGCGTACAAAACCTGAATGAGAAACTTGGTCATTTCTGTCAGGGTTCCTCAGCTGAAATGCTGTGCATTTGATTCTTGTTTAGCGCCGTTCTAAGCTTTTTATGTGTCTGAGCTTCTGTCAGCAACTCCATAGACAGCAGTTATTGTTACTGCCAGCTCCAGGTTCGGGGCCTCAGCGGTTGGCTTGGTGACCTGCCCAGTGTCACAGAGATGGGCAGGGCCTGAGCGGTGCCCACGCCCGGGCAGCTGGTCGAAGGCACCATGCTCTCCATGCAGGGATTGACTTGAGCATCCTTGTCTGTAAAAGGACTTTCCATCCCTTGTGGGTGCGGAGGGATACAGCGACCTGACATCGGAAGTAACTGTGCTTGGCTCATTCATTCAGTAAACATTTATCGAGCACCTACACAAGGCAGACAAGCCAGCTGCTTCATACAACTGCGTGCTCATGGGAAGAGGCGGGAAATAAACAAAGAAATAAGTGCATAGCGTGACGAGGCACCTGACGAGGTTAGAACAGGGGTGGGGAACATCCATCCCATGGGCCCTGGAAATCATTTGGCCGGGCCCTACCAAGGCCTTAGGGGTGAGTTAATGAAATGTTGGACCAAATAGAGCAGGCTGATTGGAAGTTGATAATTTTGCATGGCCCTGGAATGATGCTATAAATACCCAAGTGCTCTTGGCAGAGAAAGGTTCCCCACCCCTGGCCCCGGTAAGGACTCGGAAAAGCACTGATGATGCTATGCCTGGCGAACAAGAGCAGCGGCGAGCAGCATTCATTTCTCTTCTCAGCTCGGCCAGGACGTTTGCCTGGCGTTGGGCGGAAAGAGCTGTGAGCATCAGAGAACCCCTGGCCCGGGAAACCCCAGGGTTGTTAATGCTGCCCACGGCCTGCTCTGCGTAGAGACAAACTTGCTCAGTCAGTTGCATCCTCGGGGAAGGGACTCAGAGCTTGTGCACCTGGGGGCGGAGGGCCCTCTCTGCCCGTCCTAGCCTGCCTGACGCCTCCGGGGGACAGCGCCGTCGTCACAGCCCCTGGACCTCCAGGACAGTTTCAGTTGCATTTAGGGTGCTGTTGCCGATGAGTAACGATCGAGGGTTCAGGACAAGTTCTGCCTCACAGCTTTTATAAAAGTTTTGGTGGTTAGACAGCGGTAAACATGATCTCGGCATCCTGTTCCCTGAGGATGCTGTGGATTCGCGGTGCAGGGTTGGGGGTTGGGGGTTAGGGGTGTGGAGGCAGGTTCCACCGAAGGTCGAAGGTCATAGGCATTGCAGCGGGCCCTGAATGTGGGCTGGGGCTGGTGGACAGCTGACGGCACAGTCTGCTGGTAGATTGGCTGTTGGCTGCTGTTGGGCATGGCAGACAGACCAGGACCCCTGCCCTGTGGACAAAATGGATAGTCAGCCGGGTCTGAAAGCCCGTTACTTTAGCCTCATCTCTCCGCGTCCTGTGTTAGGACTTCCACAGGATTTTTGCCTAAGCTGGACGCCTTCGCTAGAGCAGGTGTGTCTCCCTGTGAGTCCCCCGTCCTTCCTGTCCAGGTGACTGGCTCCCAGTGAGCTCAAGGGACTTAAAGGGACCCTTGGGAGAGGCTCATGCTATGTCAGTGGTCAGTCACAGCTCCCATCCCCCAGGCGATGAGTGGGTTTTCTCCCAGCCCTGCAATGTTAATGAATTAGAGGTCCAGGGCATGAAATTTGTGCGCAGGTAGGTTCCCTAGACTTTCTTTTGTTCCGCGCTGCCCCCTGGTGGTCAGTGCCCATCATAGCGATCAATCAAACGCCTGCTCTCCCGGTTGAAATCCCAAGGGGACACTTTGCATATTAGCCTTTGATATAGATAGATTGCTTTGCTTCCAGAACACTGAAAGGGAGTAAACTTTTATCCATTTACTGTAACGTCAAAAGCTCTCCAATGACAGTTATTTTCCTACCGTGCTGCATGGTTTCTAGACTTGACATGGAATAGGGTATCCAAATCCGCCGTTACACGGAAGGGTTCTTGAGAGGAATGCTCTCGCACTTAGCTCGTTGGGCTGATGGAATTTGGCTCCCTCTTCTCTTTTCAAGTGCAGTGTTTTTATTGAGTCATTTTGCGAGTCTACTGTGTGCCTGCCCCTGCGATATGTGTGCTGTGGGGTGCAGTGTTGACCCCATGATGTTTGAGCACCTGGATTTGACCTTTTCATGCTCACAGCAGTCTTGTAGATAGCTGTTATGTTTACCCACGTTTTAAATGCTTTTTTAAAAAAAATTAATTTTAGAAGGAGAGGAAGGAAGAGGGAGTGATAGAAACATGGATGAGAAGCATCCATCAGCTGCCTCCTGTACGCCCCTTCATGGGAATCAAACCCAGAATCTGGGCGTGTGCCCTGATCAGGTAGCAAACCAGCAACCTTTGGGCACATGGGACCATGCTCAGCTGACTGAGCCACAGGGGCCAAGCTCCATCCCCATTTTGTAGACGAGGAAACTCTTAGAGGAGGCACAGCATGGTGGAAGGGATTGACCCAGTCCCACCGAGAGAACCAGGTGGAATGGGATCTGAGCCCAGGCTGCCAGCTCTGAGCGGTGCTTGGAGTCCACCCTTTGCTAGTGAGGGGTCAGTCCTGGTGCAGGGAGGAAGAGATGCTGTGGGGGGCGGGCTCTCTGACATGGAGGAAGGCAGCCCAGGGGGAGCTGCTCTCTGCTCTCCAGGGGTGAGCGATCAGGCCTTTCCTGAACCCCCCGTCGGTTCATGTGCATTGTTTCATGACGTCGGTCTCCACTCACCTCCTGGCATACTTGTTAGCATGTTCTGTCTCCCCCAACAGATGTCCCCTTCTTCCCATGCTACGGACCAGTCTTTTTGTTGCTAGCTTTTCCCGGTGGCCAGATACATTGCTATTGAACAAGTACAACAACGTTTTACATAAATGTTAAAGGCACCACGCTCTAAAATGAAACACCCGTTGCATGTTGAACTTATTTATTACATATTCTTATAAGCTAATAGCCTTTTAAAGAATTCTCATGATGGGCCACAAGCCTTCGAACAGAAAATACGAGAATTCTCGTGATCTGTCTGCAATGCGCTAAGAATTCTTTTATTTATTAATTATTATTATTATTATTTTTTAATTACCCCCTTTTTTACTCCAGTGCCTGTCACATAGAAGGTTCTCAAAACAAGTTTGATGAATGAATGAAAGCCAGGCATCTCCACATAGGACAAACAGACGAGCCACCAGGCTCCCTACCTACTCACCCCCCTTCCCAACCTTCTCCCCTCTCTCTACCCCCCCCCCCCCCCCATGCTCTCCAGAAGTCAGTCACTCCTCAGTCGACTCCATTTGACCTCCCTTAATGCATATGTTGTCCTGGATTTTTCGCATTACATGTTGGAACACGGTAGTAATTATGCTTGTACTGCCCTTTAGCTGTCTTCAATTTTGAAAAGAGACTGTTTTCTAATTACTAAAGGCCACGGGTTTAGATTGGGTGAGATTCCACAGGCTTTGGGCAGGCTCTTTGGGGGAGTTCCAGGGTGAAACATGTCCTCATTTTGAAACAAAACATAGAAGCAAAGAAAGTTGTCCCAGGGGGAAAAAATGTTCTGCTTGCTTCCTGTGATCAGAGTTCTTAAGTTTTTGTACAGTCTCAGGAGTGAGAAAATCAAGGGTAACTTGGGAATCGGAGCTCAGTTAAATTTTTGTAAGAAACGTGACAGTAGCGTTAAAATGTGACTTGTTTCACACATTTCTGGTCCTTGGCTGGGCTTGATCATTAGTAGGTGCTCGTGGGGATAGCACATATATATCTCAAAGATGAACGGGGGCTTTCACAAGGAAAACCAAATGCTATTTAACTTCGGAGTGTTCCTTCTTCCATCCTTCCTCTTGTTAACCTGATAAAATTAAATTTGAGAAAATAATACTACAGTGAGGTCAGGATTTCTTGATCCATAACTATTTCACTTTGGCTGAGTGGCCTTCTGTGTAGCCCGTGGGGCTGTGGTTAGCATCAGTGCAGGTAATAGAGGGATTACAAATTGGAGAAAAAACAATGATGATTATCATTACTACAATGGATCCAGTCATTAACATCATAGTACTTGACCATACGGTACAAAAGATAAAAGCTATACAATAAAAACCTCTCCCGCTTTATGACTTAGTTTGGGGAGAGCAAGGATGTAGAAAATACAAAATGCCTACACAGTAATAATGGACTGTTTTATTTTATTGCCGTATTTATTTGTAGCCAGGTGTGCTGCTAACCTGGTTACCCAGCTCCCCCAAATCTTGATTTGAATGGCGGGGTAGAAGTAAGGACTTCTAGAGAACAACAGCTGGAGAGCTTTATCAATTTAGAATTGTCTAAAGGTGATAAAGATTTGCTGTTGACGGGTGACCCCTCACTCGGATGGGAAGCGCATCTGGTGTTACAGAGGCTGTGTGATTCCTGACGGTCTCCTTCCATCCCTCGATGGCTGCAGA